AAACAGACTTCAGACGAAACTTTTGAACGAATTGTCAGTTGACGGTGAGGCCGCCATTGGGGACAAAGGGTAAGTAAATTGGAACTCCCCAGTGTCCGTCATCTCCACTCCACTTAGATTCTTCGCCGTAATCGGTAACCGACCTAAGACATGTGATATCTGGCTCGAGGCGCAAGAGGCTTTTCTCCACTTTGTAAGCCCCAGAAACCAAGTGACATTTGAGTGTGTTTGATTAGAATACGGTGGGAAGAAAAGAGAAGCAAGGTGGCAGGTAGAACGTCGCAGACCTTGACGGCTTTGAGAGGACTGTGCCAAATTCGTCGACCTTCTGTAGCGTCCATATGACCAACAATGTGTACATTTGACCTTTTCCAAAGCCGTTCTCGTGGAGATTAACAATGGGATAGTGCAACTAAATAAATAAGTAGTAAATACTCGCAAACGATAAAAAATAACTGGAAAAATGAATGCGCTGGATCAAACGAGAGCACCACAGACAGTCAGAATACTACTTTCAAAAGTTAAACGATGATAGATGGGGGCACAGTGCATAAACTATCAGCCGGTTTTGCACAATTTGCCCTTTCAAAAGTTAAACGATGATAGATGGGGGCACAGTGCAAAAACTATCAGCCGGTTTTGCGACAATTTGCCATTTTACGTGTGTTAAATTGCTCTTTATCAACACAAACAAGCACGAATGTTGAGTAATTTAAAAATTCTCTCCTCCCCTCTTTCGCTGTTGAAACTCGCCTGCGGGAAAGTAACCCATTCACAGTTGATAACCATTGATCCGGACACTTCTCATCGGTTAAAAGGGCAGACAACCGATTTGGGGATGGAAATGAAGACGTCTGACAGGTGCACATTCCCAGCAGTCCTCTACCAAAAGACACTTTTGTTTATTACGTTTATTACCGCTGATTCGCACATGGCGGTTTCTTTTTTCCGCGTCATTTTGTTTTGCGCATGCGTCAGCTGTTGTCCCTTTCACCCATAAATGTCACCAGCGAAATAGACTACTTGAAATGACCATTCGTATGACTGATCTTACTCGATTGTCTGTTCCAATCTGACTGTGGGTAATAACCATGAGAGTGATACTCGAACAACTTCAACGTTATGACTAACCGGGACACCTGATTATAAAAGAGACATTTGTCTAGGGGGGAGGACTTCATGAAGATACAGAAAGAAAGAACGCAGCAAGAAGGGGAGACCTTTCAGTGAGGATTCTTCGTAACCAAAGTAGTTCCCAAATGGCCTTAGAAAAGCTGTTGCAGAGGTTTCTGATTCCACAAGTAAGGGCTAAGGATATCAGCCCTCCAAAAAACAACATGTGTCACACGTTTGATCGGGGTTCTGTCAGCATCCTGACAATATGACTCATTCTAAGAGTTCCATCTCGTGGCTACTCGATAGTTTACACACCGCTGGCTTGGAAATTCCTAGCTTCTCACCGAAAAGCTCTTCGACCGCTGTCACTGATGAGTTTCTGTGCTGAACCGGTCGAAGGTAGATGGAGATCGGTTTTGCAAAGTACTGACTGGTTAGACTGATTTGGTCAGTCAGACCAGTCATTTTACCAGCCAAAAACCATGTACCGAAGGTACGTTGGTTCGATTTGCTACAGTTTCGGTTACCGGAAGATGGGATGACGTGGGTGATATAGCCAACCATTGGAGGCGATGGCTCAATCAGTTAGTTCGGATTGTCTATTGCTCTGAAGGGGCGAAAAGCTAGTCAGCTACGCATCGAACATGATGGCTTTGACTTAGCGTCGTACAGCACTGAATTAATGCAGGCGACGTTCACATTGCATCCCCTTCTGTGGGAAATTATGACTGGGTCTCGTAAACAGTGTACTGAAAAAAGAGGCGTACGTAGAAGCACAGAATATTGGATTTCAGTTCACCCTCAACCTTGTTTTGACAAGTATCCCACTAGGGGTCAAAGGACCTCCCCTAACCCTAAAGCTCATGGCTCGACTTGTAAATATTTCATCATGAGTTTTGTGACCATGGTAACAAATAGGAATATCGATGCATCACGTAATTCACCGAAAGTTATTCAGTTGTGCTAACGGTATCAAGTCAGCTTGATGCCATCGGCCACAGAAACAAACGAAAATGCACTCTAACTTGGTTTTTCGAGAGACTCACCTGGAACCCAGCTGAATCTCTCGGTTTTGGTGTTTCCAGGCAACGGAATGTGCTGTACAAGGTCAACTCATGTTTCACCCAGTACGATATTCGAGATATCGCGATACATGTGTATTTGTAATGCACTACTCTTAAGGTTGCTGAAAATCCGTCGACAGCCCCCGACCGGTTTCGTCCTTCTTGGGGCTCATCAGGTAGGCGCAGTCCCCGATTTTCCGTCATTCTTATGTTCTACTTGAAACCGAATTGCAGGAGATTAGCGAATATACACTCATTTGCAAACTAATTTGGTTTTTCGAGTGATTCACCTGGAACGCAGCTGAATCTCTCGTCTGTGATGTTTCCAGGCTAATTTCGTGCAATTTGGTTGATGCTATCAGCCAACAAACTAAAATACAGCCTGTTCATAAACACACGTTTAACTTCTCCATTTGAATCTATTTTGCACCTCTTTGAAAGCCCAACTCTCATTTACTATTCACACGTTGTGTGAACAAGTGATCGCACATTACGAGCTGCGTCATCAGACCACGTGACTTAAATCAGATTGCGAATCGTATTCAATGAATGATAAGCGGATTACGGAGTGTTCACACGTGACAAGACCAGGATCAGAATGATCGAGCTCATCAACCCCCCTTCCTTACAAGCTAAAAAGCATTTTTTATCAAAGCATATATGAAGAACACAGTAAGCATCATGTGATGTTACGTCATCCTCTTCTGGACAGAACTATTATGCAACCGTCACGTTTGAGTTTATACAAATTCATGTGTGGGTTGGAGGGAACTTTTGGAGTGTGCTCTCGATTGAGCTGGACAAGGAGAAAATTGCTTCAGAAAGCTAGCTGACCTCGAACTGACCAACTGACACTTACAACTTAACAGGCTCTGGATGAATGAAACCGAGTCAGAGTGAATAGTTAGGTGGCTTTTCGTTGTGAACACAAACGCCAAGATTGTATTGCTGTTCCAGATAGGGGAATTTGGCTTCACGCCCGTGGATTAAGTCCGTCCCCCCTCCATTCGCGATAACCCAAACTCCCTGTCCAGTTCGCCCCCGAAGTACTAATCAATGAAGTCTTTCTTTTGATGATTAAACACGCGTAGAAAAGCTCTCACGCGGAAGAGTTTACCAAACTTTGTGATAAGCATGTGTTACCATGACAACGAGGTGGATTAGATCGCGATAACACCTGTGATGAACGATTAGAGATTGTGTGCGGTTGATTTCACCTCCCGCTGACACCCAAACTCTAGTTCAGACAGCTCAAATGTTTAGCACTTATCCACATGCCACAGGGATAAGTAAAAGGCAAGTTGATCAACATGCGATAATCAAGACAAAGTTGTTGATCCTCTCAGAGATGGGTAGTCCATCCCGGTGGCAAACAGACTACTGATTACAGGTTGTAATTTAAACCTCTTAAATTAGAGATTGAAACTGCATGAGGTTTCATCAGCTGCCCAATGTAAGTTCCCAGTGGGATCGAGGCACGGCCAGTCTGCGCGTTGAGCTCACTAGCATTTGTGAAGCTCCAAGTGTTCTGAGACAATCCCGTTCTTTCAGCGCACATTGGGGCATATTTCACCTGAGACTGAATAGACTATCATGCACAATTCATGCTTAGGAAGGTTAGGCTATATTTCTTGTTGTTGACCGGGACAGCAAATCAATGTGTGAAATTTATCGACCGACCTCACCCAGGTCCCAATTGATGGTTTCAACCTTTGGAATTTAATGATGAACCAACCATATGTTTTTTTTTACTGAGATGCCACCCAGATTTTAGCTCCAGTCGCTTCAATTTCAAATAAGATGGCCAGGTATTCACACACACGTCATCTGCGCCGATACAACACCTCTGGAAGATCAAGGCCCGACCCATAGGGGGGACTGAAAGCACCCACACACACACGCACAGTGAACCCCCTACAAATGTGATAATGATACGCGTTATCCCTTGTGGTCAATTATCTTTGCTCATCGGAACTAGGGGTTTTCGAGTGAACTTTCAAAACACATGTGCTGAGTCCACAACAGTGGTTAATTATCAGCTGTGACATGAGGTGATGTATAATCAACCGCGGTGATCCGCGCGTGGGCGGAGGTGTGACGTGCCCACGTGAGTCTGTATCGAATAAGACACAGCTCGTAGCAGCACGATCAATGCCAGTATTTGCTAGGCTTATTCCGTTGTGAGAGTAATTCACACAGATAGATAATAGAAGAGGCAAGTTTTGGCTAGAACCTACAGGGGTCGTACAACAGTCCACAACAGACTGAAGCTTTTCGTGAAACAACCCGTTTACTACCATCGTTCATTTTTGAAGAGAATTATCACAGATGTAAATGCGGATGATGAATGTGGAAGGGTTACAGGAGAACGTTAGATGAAAAGAGAGAAGCGTCTCCATTTCATGAAGGAAACTACTCACAAGGTTGCTGAAAGCTCTTCGTGGGCTCTCGAAGAGGGCTCTTCAAGGCACGGTAAGCGCTAGCACAGTCAAGACTCACACATCAAACACGTTTCCGTCACACTGGGTCTGGTGTGAGATTGAGTGATAAGAATGTACGCCCAACGCCGTGTACCATGCATAAAAGTGTCGTACGTACGCAGACAGCCCACAATGGCAAGCAAACACAAGTCACTGACCTTAGGGAGTCTCAGTTCAATAACAGTCTTGGTGGATTAAAGAAAGCAGATCCCTCGATAAGAACTGGCCATCGGTTAGTAGACCAGAATGTCAGCATCACAACTGATTCCACGTAGGGCTAAGATTATGGTACCCCTGAATTCCGGTTTCGGTTTCAGTTGAATACACGTGTGTTGTTGCCATGCTCTGGTCTTCTTTCCTGTGTCACCCGACCTGTGCGAATGTGTGCTGTGTGTGCTGTGTGGATTCAGTAATACCAATCTGCGCATTTCAGCGCGACGTGTGCTACATCCCCTCGAACATCGAATACCGCTGACTTCCTGACGTCCCACGCTACATTGGTGACAGAGGTGGGAACTGACGACATTTCAGCAACCTTATGACTAGTGCATTACAAATATACATGTATCGCGATATCTCGAATATCGTAGCGACTGAAATACGAGGCGGCAACACATTC